TTTTATGATTGGTTGCTGATGTTACTGTTCATCTTACAGGATGGCCTATTGTTTGAGTTAAATTTGAGTCACAAGACAGATAATTTTAATATTAGTTTATTTACAAAATTGGAATACAATGTTTTGAGACCAGATTCTTCCAATTTTCCTCACTCTCCCACCCTTCAAATTGTACAACCCCATGATTAATCCTCCTGACCTCCTGCACATCCTCATCCCTCTGTTTCCATCCTCTAACCCCCTTGTATCCTTATACTCAATCTACAGTAATGGTTTTATACAATATTTGTCCTTGTGGGACTGAGTTAATTCACTCAGCGTAATGCTCTCCAGTTCCCTCCCAAGTTAGGTAATAATTTACAAAGTTATTGCTCCTGTGTGCTGTATAGTATTCCATTGTGTGAATGTACCATAATTTCTCAACCCATTCATTTGTGGTTGGACATTTGGACTGTTTCCATGTTCTTGCAATGGTGAATAATGCTGCTATGAACACTGGTGTACAAATTCCCATTTGTGTCTCAGTTCTCATTTTCTCAGATTATATTCCAAGTAATAGAATAGCAGAGTCATATGGAATAACTATGTTCATCTTTCTGAGGAAGCGCCAAACTGTCTTCCAGAAGAGCTGCACCATTTTACAATCTCACCAACAACATATAAGTATTCCTTTCTGGCCACATTCACTCCAACATTATTACTTGCTGCCCTGTTAAACTTTGCCACTGTTACTGGAGTGAGATGGTACATCATTGTGGCTTTGATTTGCATCTCTCTTATTGCCAGTGAAAGCTGAAACAAGATCCACATCCTACACCATACGCAAAAATCAACTCAAGGTGGATCAGAGACCTGGCAGTGTAGCCCAAAACCATACATTTCATAAGAGACAAACTGAGATCAAGCTTAGAAGCGCTAGTCCAAGGTATAAAGAGACTGCCAAATACAGCAAGAACTGCACAAACTGAAGAGGATAAAATTGGTGAATGGGATCTGCTAAAGATTAAATTTCTGTGCTCATAAAAAACTTTTTCCAACAGGGTGAGAAGAAAACCTACTGACTGGGAACAAACATTAGGTAATACTATCTATGAGTCGCAAGTGACTCGACAGCACATAACAACAACAACAAATCTCAGACAAGAATCTCATAATGAAAGTTTGCAGAATACTTCTGGACCTCCTCAAGAAAAAGACTGATAACCCAATTACAAAATGGGCAAAAGACATGGAAAGAATTTTCACAGAGGAAGATATTAAAACGGCAGACAGATAATTTTTTAAAAAGTACAGTGCTCAGAACAGACAATCTTTACTAATCAAGCTAAGTTATTTCTTGCTTCTGTGTCAATGGAATCTTTAAACTTTAAAAATGATCTTAAGGCAATAGTTTAAGGCCTCCCAGGCTTTACAGATCCACACATATTAATTACATGGAAGTTGGAGACTCTGTTCTACATTTTCTACTTTTCACCAAAACTAAGCTTCTTAATCAGAGTTCACATGACATACAATTCAATTATTCAACATTATTAAGGAAGGTGCTACCCCTCTTGCCTGTTTCCCAATCAATAAAGTGAGAAAGTGTGGCAAAACAACTTTGAAGGATTTTCCTAACTTTGAATTTACATGTTTCTAAATTAACTTGAAATCAAAAGCACAGACTTCAGAGATTAAAAGTCTCCATTGCGCAATAAATTCTTCCAGGAAACAGGCAATAGCCCTTTGTATCTCTAAGATAGTGTGAAATGATAAGTGTGAAAGGATTTTTGAGGTTCTTTTGCATAAGGAAGTAACCATAGAAACAAAGATTGACAAATTCTCTAAGCTTTAACACAATTTAAGTGGCAAACTGTCACTCAGAGAGTGTAGGAAGGACAGAACTCTGAATCACTGAAGAGTAATGACTTTGAAAGCAGGAAAACTAAAAAATGTGTCTCCTCCATTAATTAATTAATTAATGATTTATGCTTGGTCAAATTGCTTAACTCTCTGTGAGCTATAATTTCCTTATCTATAAAACAAGCAAATAGAAAAGCACAATTTGTTAATAGCTGTGAATTTTTATTCTTCAGATGGGAACCCTGGCTTCAGCTCTTGGGCAATGCAACACAAGCAGTTACTACCTCAGTGGAGGCTTGTGTTGCTGTTGAACATTAGCCAGTGGTGCTTCCATACTACAATGTATTAGGAAGAAAGTTCTAGAAATATATGACTGACCGACAATTAGTTAAAGAAAACTCTGTGCTATTATAAACAGTTCTATTATAAATGTTCACACAGATAAATTATGGATTTAATTATTCTTGTAGAAGAGATTACTGGAAGTGAAGACATTAAAGGAATAGAGATATTGCTTGCATTGAATAACATTTTAGAGATTTTTAATCTCATCACAAATAAGGATTATTTAAAAGCAAAAAGCATAAAACAGTATTGGATTATGGTAAAATATGCATATGTTGCTGTTAGCGACCCTGTGAAGGAGAGTCCTGGACACTTGGGTGCTTTTCATCCTCTCTCCAGGTTCATAGGGTTTCCGGAGGCAAGCTATTATGGAAGTAGATGCCACTCCTCCTTCCAAGCTTGTTTTAATTGGGGAGCTCCACCCCACTCTCTGTCCGCATTGGGTAGCCAATCATTAATGCATTTGACACAGTGTCACAGTGTTCAGCCTCAGAGCAACCACAAGTGACCGCGGGAGGGCAACTTGTACACCAGGACTATACAACCTAGAGGAATGTCTGAACAAAAACAATGAAAGACAGGCCTGAGGGCAGTGGATTAAAAGTCACCCACCTCTGGCTTAGTAGCATTGTTTTCTGTCCACTGGGCCAGCTGATCTCTTTCTCTCTGTTGATATTATTGTGTTATACTTATATAAAAATAACTCAAAAACGTAACAATGATTTTGTTGTTGTTGTGTACCGTCAGAATGGAACCAACCTAAAGCTGACACTTTAGAGGGTTTTCAGAGGCAGTTAATCACACGGGAAGAGATTATTCAACCTTTTCCCATGGAGCAGCTGGTGGATTCGAACAGCGTGCCTTCATGATTGAAACACAGCTTCTTGCCACTAGGTCACCATTGTTGTTTTTGTTGTTGATTGCTTTTGAGTCAAGCATGACTCATAGCGACCTTATAAACAAAAGGCCTGAAGCCCCTCTATAACTATCAACATTTATCAATGTTCATAGAGTTTTCAGAGGCATGTTATTTAGGAAGTGGATGCCACTCCTGCTTCCAAACCTGTCATAATATGCTATTGTTGTAAGTGCCATTGAGTCCCCTGCGATATATAGTGACCCTATGCATAGCAGCTCTGAACCCTTCCCTGTCCTGAACCAGTCTCACTAATTCCAACACACCAACCCCCATTGCCCCAGTCACTGCATCAATCTATCTCATTCGGAGTCCTCTCTCCTGCGCTGTCCTTCCAAGCATGAAGGACTTCCGAGTCCTTCTCCCAAGGACTGATCTCTCCTGGCCACGTGCCCAAAGTTTGTGAGACGGAGCTTCAGAATCCTACCTTCCAAAGAGAGATTTGGTTTCCCCCTCTCCAAGGCAGTCCTACTTTTTTTTCTTGGCAGTCCATGATATGTTCAAGACTTCTCCAGCACCACAACAGCCACCATTAGTGGGGGGAAAAATCCCTCAAAACTCTTTGGACCACCATCCCCTGATCCCTGCCTCATGGGGAGGGAACCAGATGGGTGGAGTTTTATTGTGTTGTGTTATGCATGGGGCTCTCCGGAGTCAGGAATCCACTCAGTGGAGGCCAAAAGCAACACTATATATAAGGGGCTGGACACAGGTTCTCACATGGAGTGAGAGCTCCAAAAATTCATTTCATTTTATGACCTAGTGTAGGACTGTTCCTCATGTAACCTGAGGTTCATGTCGGTTCACATCTTTACAGGAATCAGCTTGATGTCGGTAAATATTGCAGCTAGGAACAGTAAACAAGTTGATGGACTTTTTCACAAGGAAAGGGCAAGTAGCAGAAGGGTGGGGGTTCAGGATTTCAATTCACTTCCCTATATTCTATCTTGATCCCTTTAAGTTGCAGTGTTGGAGAAAAGTCCTGAATATACCATAGACAAACAACGCAATGGGCGAACAAATATATCTGAGAGAATGTGCAGCCAGGGTTCTTTTTTGGAGGCATGGATGGGGAAGCTTCATTTCTTGTTCATCATATTTTTAGGAGATGCTAATTCTTAGAAAAGTGGAGGAAAGGTGCTTTGAAAGGTGGAGGGTCAGAGAAAGAGGAGAAGATCTTCAATGAGATGGATTGACATAGTGGCTGTAACAAAGGAATCAAGTTTTTGATGATGAGGATAGCACAGCATAGGACAGATCCATTGTTCATAAGGTTGTTATAAGTCATAGTCGACACCACAGTATGTTAACAATGATATTCTGTTTGGTTTTAAATCTTTGAATATTTTACTTTTTAGTTTCTACTTTTTTTTATTGCTTTGCATACAGTATTTTGTATACGTTGTGTTTCATTCATGTACATTGTATTTCACACACTCATTCATATATATTGTATTTTTTAAAATTAATTACTACTGATCTATGCCTATTATGATCCTGTCTTTTCAAGTCCCCATTGAATCTAGATTTTACTTTTGCTCTCCATCTCCAGAGATGACCGATTATGATAGGAATTTGCATGATAGTAAAATATATCAAGTGAAACACCATTCTCACACAACATTGTTGTTGTTGATTGCCTTCGAGTGGAGCACGACTCATAGCAACCCTATGAACAAAAGGCCTGAAGCCCCTCTACAAGGGGAGAATACGCCGTCCCCTTTTCCTTATGACTCAGGGTGAAGTCTCTCTCAGGGAGGAGTGATAGGGAATGGCAAAGGATACACTGACAAAGAAGATTAATCAGAACTGGCTTTGACAAGCACTGTGGCATTTGGACAAGAACAAACTGGGAGGAGGGTAGAGAGAATAGTGCAACAATGAATGAGTGGAAGCCCAAAATCTCTGTAAATGTTTATGAAAATTAATAAAATATAATTATAATTTAAAAAAAAAGAAAAAAAAATAAATTTGAGAATAAGATACAAAAAAAAAAAAAAAAAAAAAAAAATTTATCAAAGTTTATAGAGTTTCCAGAGGCAAGTTAGTTAGGAAGTGGATGTCACTTCTGCTTCACTCAACATTACTGAAGTTTTTCCCTAATGGAATGTAAAGAATTTTATTTTCAAAAATTAAAGAAATTCAACATTTCTGTGATTGTTGAGCCTATTTAGGAAAGCACAGAGGTTTATTGCAATTGGAGTTTTATTGAAATTACCAGTTCTTGATTATGTCAATGAGTCACCTACCTGTCTTTCAACACAAGCATCACATTCTGACCACGGTCCATAATCTCCTAGGAGGCAATTGATAGGACATGCTTGCCAGTTACATTCTCTGGTCTCCTGTTTGGTGCAAATCCGATCACAAAAGTTTTCATAGTAGTACTTATCTGCTACTATCTGTCTGTAATGGTGAGAGAGAAAAAAACTGCTTAGGGAGAGTGCATTAATTGTGGCTCTAACCTGACAAGAAAGATATTGTGAGTTGTTTCTAGGTACCCTTGAGTAAATGACAACGTATAATTACTTTAAGAAGAACATATTAGACCTTGCCCTATCCTGCACCATCTTCACTATCTCTGCCACGCTTAAACCCATTGTTGTTGCAGTCACTGTGTCAGTCATTTTTGCTGAGGGTCTTTCTCTCCTTTGCTGACCTGCTTTTCCAGGATGATGTTTTTTCCCAAGTACTGGTCCCTCCTGACAATATGCCCAAAGTATATGAGAATAAGTTTTCCCATTCTTTCCCCAAAAGGAGGAGCTCTAGTGGCCTAATGGGTAAGGAGTTGTGTCCTGGCAACCCAAAGGCAGGCAATTGAATTCACCAGTTCCTCTAAAGGAGAAAGAGAAAATCATCTCTCTCTCAAATAATCTCTTCTTGAATAGTTTACAGCCTCAAAAACTTGCTGGAGGATCAGTTCTGACTAGTTGGCAATGAGTTTGAGTTTGCCTTTTCTTCAAAAGGGTACCTTGGTTGAACTTCCTCCAAAACAGATTGGTTTGCTCTTTTGGCCATCCAGAGGATATTTAATCAATACTAAAATTCAAAGTCATCATTTTTCAAAGGCATTCATTTTCTTTTAAGGGAGTTCAGGTGGCTGAATGGTAAGAAGCTGTGCTGCAATCTCAAAGACACGTACGTTAAATCCGGCAGCTGCTCCAGAGGAAAAGGAGAGCAATCTCCTCTAATGTGACTCATTGCCCCTGAAAAACCTGCTGGAGTGCCAGCTATGGGTTAGCCCCGACTCAACAGCGCACAACAACTATTTGTTTTCCAAATTCATATGCCTATAAAGTAAACGAAAATACCATCCCTTGGGTTAGGTGTACTTTAGGCTTTAAACTGACATCTATACTCTCTAGCACTTTAAATAGATTTTTACAGCAGAATTCCTAATGTGATAAATCTTTTGATTTCTTGTCTGTTGTTACTATGCAAGTTGATTTTGGATCCAAGTAAAATGAAATTATTGACAACTTCAGTCTTTTCTCCATCTGTGATCTGTCTTGGAGAGGGTGAAACCAAGTTTCTCCTCAGAGGCTTGGATTTTGAAGCTTCATCTTACATAATTTGGACATGGGTCCAGGAGAGACCTGTCCTTGGAGAAGGACATCATGCTTGGAAGTGTAGAGGTATGGTGCAGGAGAGGAAGACCCCAGAGGAGATGAATAGATGCAGTGACTGGGCAATGGAGTTGGTGTGTCAGAATTAGTGAGACTGGCTCAGGACGGTGCAGGTTTCAGAGATGCTGTATATATATATATATAGGGTCACTATGAGTCACAGGCAACTCGACAGCACATAACAAGAGCAGCAACAACCAACCATGACGTTTGTTGTCTGTTGGTCCAGTGGTGAAGATTTTTGTTTTCTTTATGGTATGTTCTTTATTAATATTGAAGTTTATAATATTTTATATTCTTCAATAAGTGCTTCAAGTATTATTTACTTCCTGTGCATTAGCCATCAGGAATACAAAGAAAGAAATCTTTCATGGAAAATGAGCACATTGGCATATGTGTTGTCCTTACCACTCATTAGAATTTAGGACAAGCTGTGTAACTTGTGGGGCTCAGTACAAACTTAAAACTCAGAATCTGCTGTTAAAGAATAAGAATTTCAAGACAGCAGTTGTGTACACTCTAGTCTTGAGCTAAATATCAAGTCAGGATATCCTCTGGATAACTGCAAATTACACAGTCATGAAGCTTATTCTGAAGGAACTCTTGGATGGGACTGGAAGGGAAAGAAAATAGAGAAAAATATATTGTGGAGTACAGAAAGATAACATCACAATATGGTAAGTGCAGTGATTGAGAGAGAGGCAAGGAGCTACGGGATCACAGATGAAAATGACAGAAGAGCTTCATCTTGAAAGTAAGTGTGAATTCTTCAGATAACAATTAGGAGAGTGGCCAAAAGTAACAGCCAGTGCAAAGATTTGAAGTGGAAAGGACCATGACAGGAGGACCTTGTGGGATAGACTTGTCAAATGCATGAGTGACAAAGAGAGGATATGTTGTTACGCTCTGGCAGACGGTAGGCAGCACTGGTATGTTAGTGGTGGAATTTTTGTCTTCATTAGACCATCTGTCAGAGGTGGTCTGTATGTTGTTATGGTGTTGAAAAAGTTTCAGTGGCCCTTTCAGACTAAGATGCATTATGAAGAAATGCTTGGTTATTTACTTCTGGAAAATCAGGTAATAAAAGTCTCTGTGGTTCATAACTAAAAATCATCCAATTTCCAATTTATCGTGGACATAGTCAGGATAGGGCAGTGCTTCACTTTGTTGTACAAGGGGTCACCGTGGGTAGTAACCAGCCAGATTACCACTGAAGAGTTCTCAAGAACAGAGACTCTATCAACAAATCCGTTTCATAAGTTTAGTGCAGGGACTGCCAAAAGAACAAACAAATCTGTTTCGGAAGAAGTGAAACCAGAATGCTCTTTAGAAACAAGGCCAATGAGACCTCATGTCACACTTTGGGCATATTATCAGGAGACACCAGTCCTTGGAGAAGGACATCAACGTTGGAAAGTATAGAGTCTGTGAAAGACAGATGGACACTCAATGAGATGATTGACACAGTGACTACAGCAACGGACTTGAATACAGCAGAGTTGTGAGGATGTACAGGATCGACAGGTCTTGTTCTGATGTATGTAAAGTTACTACCAGTACGAGTCAACTTAATTGCACTTACTAACATCAGAAAACAAAGGAAATGGGAAAAATTCAGTGTGAAAATCAATGTACATGAACTTTGTAAGTAAACCAGTATCAAGTAAACATTTTATTTTAAAAAAAGGAGGAAAACCCCAAAACAATTCATCATTCATCAGAGAAGTCAACTGGGGATTTTACTGAGACTCACACGATATGTGTAACAATTTTTCTAAAATGATTGTCAAAAAAATGAATGGAAATCCAAAGTCTCTGTAAATTTTCATTAAAATTAATAATAATAAAAAATAAAAATAAAAAATTAAAAAATGTTAAAACATTCAAAACACAACAGATTATTCCCTTTTCCAATCATGTGAATTTCTCCATGTAAGAAGAACAATGGAGATTAAATAGTTTGAGTTAGTGAAAGATTGAATTACTGTTAACCATGTAAAAATAGTTTGCTTGCCTCCATGTACATGTCAATAATCGAGCTAAAAGCTAACACTGCTGCTCTATTGAGGTCCTGTTAGAGATGTGCTTTAATGAGTAGAAAATTCTCTATAATTAACTCACTAAACGTATGCAAGCAGAACTACACATTGATTGAAATAAAAAGCTCTAGTAGTGATTCCAAGTCAGTAAAATAGAACTGTAAGTCTATACAGAGTCTTAATCACATGTCTCTGAAACTCATCACCTTTATGAAAAAGACAAAGTAGACTATTTTATTTTTATGTACAAGAGATTTCATATTCTATCCAAATTCAGGGATTCTTTGAGATGTATTTAATTGAGATATATTTTTTCTCCACATTACTAACTCAATCTTTGAAGTTTTCAGGACACAAAGAGGAGTATCATATCTCATGCTCACCTTTGTCTGCTCTGAAATCCAAAATTGCAGGTTTTTGAGCAGCTGGACCACTGAGTCCATGGGTAATGATCACAGTGGCAGGCTTGGCTCTTATCAGTTAAAGCACACAGCAAGATAAAGAACAGGATGGAGAGGGTAGCCATGTCTTGACAGCATACAAGCCCTGTAATGGAACAAGAAAATGTGTATCAAACACTCTTGGAGACATAACACTCCAAGTGAAGCTGAATCACAGACTTCAACGTGATCTTAGAAAACACCTCCTTCATCTCCTACCTTCTTTAAGGCAAAGCAGCCTATAAACTGACGCATGTTCAAATTCTATTTCTAAAGTCTTTTAAGGTGTAAGATTATCATCATTACTACATATATTCAGTTTCATCATTGCTACATATATTCAGTTTAACAAATATTTTCACAAGGATGTGGTTCTGTGGACTATTTAGTGAGAGGCTGTAAGACAAAAGTAGGTAGTACATATTTGCAACCTATTTAATTCCAAAATATCTGATGCTTCTTTTGTAGAATAATTAGGGTACCCTGGAGGTGTTGGCCATAGGAAACTGCACTACTACCTCCAAGGCGGCATGCCTTTGGCAGTTTGAATGCACAAGTGGGTCCCCGGGAGAGAGGTAAGCAGTCGGGCTCTTTTCCTGTGATCTGTAGCCAATGAAAATCCACTAAAGGATCAGCTATGACTAGGTTCTGATCAATGGCAATGAGTTTGAGGTTTTTAGTTTGACATGGTGTAATTAGCATGAGTACACAGCCTTGAATAAGTGGCTACAACAATGAGCTCAACCTTGGCAGTGATGGTGAAGATGGTGCAGGAGCAGGGCGGGGCAATGTTTTGCTTCATTTGGCTGCAGTATTTTTTGTGACATAACTGATTCTTGATGACACTAAAGAAAAGCACCAATTAATATGACAACTACCACTTAAAGTAATAAACTGCCACTTACCTAACTTCTCCACGCATCAGTTTTATTGCCTATAAAATTGGAATAATACTTTTACCTTCTTGATAATGTTTTTGTTAGGATTAAATAAGAAAATTCTTGTTATATATAAACACATGGAAGACAAATAGAAAAAATAGACAAAGATAGAGAAAAATAAACAGAGAGACAGACACAGAGAAAGAGAGACAGACACAGGGTACGATACACAGACGTAAAGACACATTGAAAGACAACAGACATAGAAACAGAGACTGACACATGAACACCCAGACATATAGAACGATAAACAGACACACAGACATATATATATGTCTATATATAAACAGACTAATACACATACACAAAAGTCTCCAACTGTCAATAAATATAAGTGGATTGAACAACAACAAGAGCAAAAAAGATATTTCCTGTAAAGAAGAAACTGAGAGAATCTTCACACAGCATGTATTCTTAGAGTTTAAAATGAATAATAACATGTAAGTGTTAGGAATTCAATACTAGCTGGCAGTCATTCACTTTTCAAAATTAGAGGCTTCCTAATTATGGGCAGGATCATAGAGAGGTCAGATAAATGTATTGATGTTGAATAAGCTATTCTTATTTAAAATAATGTAGTAATATGGTTTTAATGATTTTGCAACTTTCAAGTAAAAGAATGCCTATGAGTGCGCTATTTAAAATTGCTATATTTTACTAGCATCTCCTACTCTCTTGCATAGCTTTAATTTTCCTTGTACATGTTGCTTCTTAGCATCCTAAATTATTACCTAAATCATTTTTTAAAAATCCCCTCTCTCTCTCCGTCTTCACTAGAATATAAACTCCATGTTGATACAATTTATGGTTAATTTAATTTTGGCATTTTTAGAGTGAGAGCAAGTATAGTATGGAGTCAACAAACACTTGTTGAAATGAATTTATGACACAATTTAGAAATGACTTTTAAAGAAATTTGAATAATACAACGAGTCAATAATTATAAGCACTTCTGTAATTTAAACTTAACCTCTAAATTTAAAACAAAATTAAATGTGCAAAGAACAGGAATTCTAAAATCAAAAGGGCTTTTCTCTCAGCATTTCTTTTTTTTTAATTGCATATCCAACTTTTTTTATTAATGATTTTTTTAAATGCCGCATATATAGTTTTTATAGCATATTCTTTCCATTTCATTTTCCCCCCATTCATTGATTATTGCACATTTTCCTCCCTGCCCCCTCCTCCCCCCAGTTCGTTTTTCTCTTTGAAGGAAAAAAAAATCTTTCATTGTTACAGGCTCTCCCCCCGCCCCCCCCCCCGCCCCAGTCCACTTTAATATGCATTTCTTAAGGTGAAGGAACTAACAAATTTAAGCCCCGAGCTGCAATATTTAAGGATGATTTGGGTAGAATATTGAATTATTAGGGAAGTGTTAAAAGAAGAGGGAAGGAGTACACAGAGCTACTGTAGGAAAAGGAATTAGATGACACAGAAATGATGAAGGGAGAAGTGCAGGCTACTCTGAAGGACTTGGCAAAAAATAAAGCCCAAGGAATTGATGGAATACCAATTGACATATTTCAACAAACTGATGTTGCCCTGGACATGCGCACCAGGTTGTGCCAATAATTCTGGAGGAAAACTACCTGGCCAACTAACTGGAAGAGATTTGTATTTATTTCCATTCACAAAAGGTGGCCCGACAGAGTATGGAAATTATTGTACAGTATCACTCATATCACACGCAAGCAAAATCCTGCTGAAGGTTATCCGGAAATGACTGGAACAGTACATAGACAGAGAGCTGCCAGAAATACAAGCTGGGTTTAGAAGAGGTCATTGCACTAGAGACTTTATTGCCAATGTCAGATGGATCTTGGCAGAAAGCAGAGTCCAGAGGGATATCTGTGTTTCATTGACTATACAAAGGCATTTTACTGTGTTTATCACAACAAATTGTGTTAACCTTGAGGAGAACAGGAATCTCAGAACACTTGATTGTACTTATGCAAAACCTATATTTGGACCAGGAAGCAGTGTCAGAACAGTGTAAGGAAAAACACTGTTGTTGATTGCCTTCAAGTTGAACACGACTCGTAGTAACCCTATGAACAAAAGGCCTGAAGCCTTTCTATAACTATCATTGTTTCTCCAAGTTCGTAGAGTTTCCAGATGCAAGTTAAGAAGTGGATGCCACTCTTGCTTCTAAAGGAAACACTACATAATTTAAAATCAGAAAAGGAGTGCATCAGGGATGCATCCTGCCTCCATACGTTTTCAATCTATATTCAAAACAGAGCGTTTGGGTGGCTGGGCTCTATGAGGAGGTATCTAGCATCAGGATTGGAGGAAGACACATCAGCAACCTATGATATGCAGATGATACAGTCTTGCTTGCTGAAACTGAATGAAGACCTGAAGCAGGTCAGGTACTTTAGTCTTCAATATGAATTGAAGCTCGCCATCAAGAAGACAAAGATTCTCACCACTGGGCCAATTGGCAGCACCATGACGAATGGAGAAGAGATTGGGGTTGTTAACAGTCACAAGTTGCTTGCTTCACAATCAAAACTCTTGGCACCAGCAGTCAAGAAATCAAAAGATGAATTGCATTAGGTAAATCTGCTATCAGGGACCTTTCCAGCATACTGAGAAGCAACGACGTCAGTCTAGAGACTAAGGTGCACCTTATCCAGGCCATGGTCTTTGCAGTTACTTACTGTGCATCAGAGAGCTGGACAATACTAAGGATGACAGAATTGATGCCTTTGAGTTTTGGTGCTGGAGAAGAGTCATGAACCCATAAATGGACCACCAAGAAAACAAATAGGTCTGTCTTGGAGAGGGTGAAACCAAATTTCTTTTTAGAGGCTAAGATTTTGAAGCTCTGTCTCACATATTTTGTTTGGGCTTGTGGTCAGGAAGGACTGGTCCTTGGAGAAGGATATCATGCTTGGAAGGGTGGAGAGACAGCACAGGAGAGGAAGAAACCAGATGAGATAGATTGATACAGTAATCAGGGTAATGGGAGTAGATGTGTTGGAATCAGTGAGACTGGCTCAAGACATGGCAGGCTTTAGAGTTGTTGTCCATAGGGTCACTATGAGTTGCAGGTGACTCGACGGCACATAACAATAACAAAATTTAACATTTCTACCAGATTATAGGCATTTCATAACCTTTAAAATTAGAGTCCAATCATCAACCATTTTTATTTTTTAGCAAATGTGTAAGTTTGTAGCATGACACTTTTAATTTTAGTTTCTTAAAATCTCACACTGATTATGACAAGAGTCCAGAATGAAGGTTGCATAGTGGAGCGTACTTGGGGTGGGGTGGTGGTCATGGCGCATTGTATATGAGTGAAGGAATTTTTATTTTACTTTTCAAAGAGAAGAGTGAACTGGGGGGAGCGGAGACAGGGAGAAAAATGCAACAATGAATGAGTGGAAATCCAAAATCTCTGTAAATGTTCATTAAAATTAATAAAAAATAAAATAAAAAAATCTCTCACCAAATTTCTTAAGATTCAGGTTTAGTTTTAAGGCATTTATGGCATTGTGGCTAAAATAGTCAACTACTAACCAAATGGTCAGAGGTTCAAACCTACTAATAGATTAAAAAGAGCAAGACGAGGCAATAGATATAGATAGATATAGAGCTAGAGCTAGAGCTAGAGATGATATATATAGATATATAGATATATAGATACTCTCTTAAAGACTTACAAGCTTGGAAACCCTATTGAAAAGTTTTACTCTGTCTTACAAAGTTGTTTATGAGTTTCAACTGACTAGACTGCACCAAAGTTTTCTTACTCGTTTTATCAGTATAGCAGGGCAAAGGTGGGGCCTTGATTGAAATGCTGTGCTGCTAACAGAAAGGTTGGAAGTTTGTACTCCATCAATTACTCTAAAGGAGAAAAATGAGTCTGTTCTTCAGTTATCCTCTGTCCTTCCAGGGTTGCTCTGTGCAGGAATTGAATTGATGTCAGCAGATGTAGTTTTTGGTTTTTAAAAATAATAAATATGCATGAAGAAAACTTATTGCTGTTGAGTTGGAAGAAACCCATAGCTGACCCTCCAGAAAATTTTCAGAAGCTTTAAATTGCACAGGAGGAGATTGTACATCCTTCTTCTGAGGAGTCACTAGCAGATTGGAACTCTCCGAGAGGCATTGCGCCTTTAATTAGCAGTGCAACT